TGATGGCTACATATTGGTTAAAAAGGAAACTTTCTGGATATATAGTCTAGACTCTAGAAGTTTCCTTGAGGTGGAAAGAAACCAGTTAAAGCATTCTGGATACGTGCTTGGAGTGTCAGCAAAGGAGGTAAGGTTGTGGGCTTGACTACAAAGTACAATAGTGTCTTGTGTCTCCAATTCTCAAAACAGAGATTAGGGTACAGAGAAATTCAGTTCATGGTTTTATATAGAGAAATGGTTATTATTAACAATTCAGCATTATTTTAGTTTGATAATTTAGCACTTTGCTTAGATGTAGGCTCTTTACTGTTCTTTTAAGTCTGGTTCAATTTTTTTCTCTTTCTGTACCTGTATAGCCCATACTAGTATTTATTTTCTGTAAATACATTATGGGGGAGACTTTCAAAAGTGCCCTATGCATTTATGAGTATAAGTCCAATTGACTTTCCATGGGACTTGTGCTCCTCAGGCACTTTTGAAAATACTCTTTCCCTCCTCCCTCATCTTGTCATCTGTTTTCTCCACCTTGTGGAGATTATTTATAACCACATAATGTACTAAAGGGGTGAATAAGAGGTAATATCACCACCTTCAAAGCATGCTCCATAGTATTTGTAAGAGGTATCAGTGGAAATTAGATGCCTTTGCCCTGAAAAATTGAAATAGAATGTCAGGTTTGGAAGGGACCTCAGGAGGTCATCTAGTCCAACCCCCTGCTCAAAGCAGGACCGATCCCCAGACAGATTTTTTTCCCCAGATCCCTAAATGGCCCCCTCAAGGATTGAACTCACAACCCTGGGTTTAGCAGGCCAATGCTCAAGCCACTGAGCTATCCTTTCCCTCTCCCCCCCCCAAAGGGAAATTTGGTGGAAGTGAAAATATCTAATTAATTTTAACCTGTATTGAAAGGATCCATCAAATTACATTGTGTAGCCAACTAATCAGTGAGGAATCAGTGATTGTCACAACTGTATTTTAAAATGGAGAGCTTTTGCTTGATATTTTTGATGGGGAGTGAGTATTTTCACGAATAAAAGACTAAATAAATATTTTTGCATGCATGTTATGGGTTGTACCCAATTCTGAGATTAATCTGTGTAGCTCTTTATATATCATCTTATGCAGCTTTAAGATGCAGAACATTTTTAATATAAAATTTGAGAATTTTCTAGTTATAGAAGTACGTTGTCTACTGGGAACACAAATTGCACTTCCGCAGCCCATATTTGTATGGCCTGACAATTACTTGTGTTGCCAGAAGTAGAATATTGCCATTATTGCAAGTATGCTTTTTTCTTGTTCATATTTTTATTAATAAACCAAAGTTCTAAAATGAACTAAAACCAACCTGAACTTTGGCATCTTGCAGATTCTACAGTTTGAATAAAACTGCCTATTGTACGTAGGAACCATATAAAAAGAGGCTATGTAATAATAATGTCGAATTTCTTATTTTAGTTAGAGCTAGGTATGATGTTATAACTTGAAATGCATAATAAGATGTAAGAAATTAAAATGTAAAACTATATTTCTTTATCCGTCCTCACGTATAAGATTTATTCCACACCATAGCAACTACTATTTTATAAAGAGTGCCATACTTATCTATTACAGTATCTTGTTATACCAGGTCATGGCTCCATGATTAAAATTCCAGTTAGTATTCCAGTATAAAGTGTCTGGGTTTGGGTTTGGCCTGAAAGTTGCCAGGTTTACGTTAAAAGAACAGGAGAATTTTTTCCCCAAAAATCTGAAGAAAATGGGTCAATCGCTTGAGTTGCATATGTAATGTTTAAAATAACATAACTAAAAATTTTAAACTAGTGTCAAATTTTCATTGGCCCTTCAGGAAAGAGGGTGAGGGGAAGGTGATGACTCTCTATAGTCATTAGGATTCAAAGGTGAGCAGAAGCCAGGGTGTCACAACAGTGGAAGGACAGATCTGACCTATATAAGGAAAAGAAACAGTTAAAGAAGTTAAGGCTTTATGGACAAATTAGTTTTGACCTACAATTCTGAGAGTTTGTTATCCTTATCTAAAATTATGATGACGAGGAAGAACATAACATATCCTGGAACTTTTGTTCTGAAAATTGGATGTGCAAACATGTTTTTAGTCTGTGTTCAGCTTTGCTCTAGTTGGTTTAAAAAGACGGTTGGGGAAACCCTGAATTCCCATAAAGAGTTTAAAACCCAGGGCAACCTGTAAGATGGGTCTTTGTCATATTTTGGTCAGTTTTGTTTTGCTTGCTTTGTTTCTGTGTAGATTTTCTTTGTTTTCTATTTCTAGTTATACAGTAGAATCTCAGAGTTACAAACACCTTGGGAATGGAGGTTGTCTATAACTATGAAATGTTCGTAACTCTGAACAAAAAGTTATGGCTGTTCTTTCAAAAGTTTACAACTGAACATTGACTTAATACAACTTTGAAACTATAATATGCAGAAGAAAAATGCTGCTTTCCCTTTTTTTTACTAGCTTACGTTTAACACAGTATTGTATTGGCGTTTGTTTTTTGGTCTCTGCTGCTGTCTGATTGCGTACTTCCAGTTCCAAATGTGGTGTGTGGTTGACTGGTCAGTTCGTAACTCTTAACTCTGAGGTTCTACTGTAGTTGCAAAAACTATTGGTCATGATGTTACTTAGTGTAACAACATACCCTTAGGCAATCCTAGGTCTAGTTTTTGTCTGCTCATTTAATGGCATCTGCAGTTTCTTGCAACCAGGAGCCAGGAGAAAACTTTGTCCAACAGTTGGACCTTGGCTGTGATCCAGCCCTCCAACCTGATCCAAATGGACCACGTTCTCTTCCTGCCAGGGAAAGAAGCCACAGTTTTGGCCCGAAGAAGACAAGAATTGTTATCCACTTATCACCTGGCAAGAGAAAGGAGAACTTATTTTATATTTTCCCCTAATCTCCTTTCTTATCCTTTACCTCTGTATCCATTTTGTCAAAATTTGGTTGAGGAAGTTGACTTGGCAAAGGAACAACTGTGAGTAAGTGAAAATGTTTTAGTTAGTTGCCAGCTAAGTAACCCTTTTCCTAAATGACAGAAATACTTAGCGAGAAGCAGTTTTCTATAAGCTGAATTTTTCCCTTATGTGTAAGTCAATAAAGAAAGGCTTATTATGTGGTTAATAGGGATCTAAAGCCTATGGCATGAGAGAAACCCCAGGCATTTTAGGACATACTAAGAATGGTGTGCACCAAGCAACATCTAATCTGTAAGCTAAGGCAGAGCATCCAAGTACCCAGGTGAATGCCACATGATAATATGTGATGTGAAAACTGGCACCATAAAGAGCTCATAAGCTTCCCAGGTTAGGGCGTGGTAGGGTAGAATCAGGTACCTTAGGGATAGAGCTGGTCAGAGATTTTTCCGACAGACCAGTTTTCTGTCAGAAAATGCTGATTCAATTAAATCAAAACATTCTGCAGGCTTACCAGCCCAGAAATGTTAGAAAATTCCATTTAGGTTCTTCTGAAACTGAATGTTTCAAAATTTCCATCCTGTGGAAAATTTTGCATTTCTGATTTTTTGTTCCAATTTAGATGAAAATTCTTTCAGAAATGCAAAATTTTCCGTGAGATGAAAATTCGGTTCCTGCACACCTATCTTCCCTATCTGGGAAGTCCTAAACTCTGTACTGGCCTTCTATTAGATTAAAAGAAACGACACACACATGCTTGCTCGGAAATTAGCTTTTATATTCTGATGATATCTAGAGGCCTCAACCAGGTTGGTACTCGTGATATGCACTGTACAACCATGATAAATGACCGTCCTTGCCTCTGAGAAGTTACAATCTGAAAGCCAGTACATATAAGCAGTCTGAGTATGTCCCCATAAGAGGTGAATGAACTGCAGTGTGGTGTGTTAGTTACATATTGCAGTTAAGTGAGGATTTGTGAAGGTTTGTAGCTCAGGTTGGAAATGTAGGTGATGTATGCTGGATAGTTGTAAGAGGATTTCTGGTTCATGATTAGACTCATTGGAAGGGGCAGAGTTAAAGTTGTTGTTTTTTTTCAATCTGCAATGTAATATTTTACACTTGTACATTTTAAGAGATTATATGAAGTGTGAAGGTGTGTGAATATTTATATTTCTTTGTGTCTAAATGCTTAAGTTTTTTCTTTTTCTGACAACATTGCTTGGTATATTTTAACTAATGTCAAAGTAACCGCATTAACTAAAAATTAGCTCTTGTCCTTTAATCTGTATACTTCAAAATAGCTTCTCTTCATACTTAAAGGTTTAGTACTTTTCAATATTAAGTATTAATCATCTGAAAAAGAAGTATATAATCTTTGTCTTAACTTCATAACTTTAGTGTTCTCAGAACACTAGCTTGGGACTCCATGGATCCCATTAGGCATCCTTAATCACATTGGAGTAGTTCTTATTCATAAGAATAGTCTACTGAATCCTTTAAAAGGTACAAAAATGGCAATGTACTGTACACGGCTGTTCGCCTTTTCATTCTCATAAATGTTGTGCACAAAAGCTATGGTTTAGTTTTCAGTCTCGTATGCTTCCATAAATAATTTCCCTGATATATTTTTGACAGAAAGATTACCCTTTTATGAAGAAAAAATTGTAGATTTTGTCAATACAGCTTTGAAACACTGGACATACAATAGCAACATGAACCATTAAACACTGATACAGAAAAATCTTTTAGTTTGTGTACATTAATTGCATGGGGTTTGAAAAAGTATTTGTTAGAATGTAAGTCTTATGAATATTACAGCTCTTTCCTGGCATCTTGTCTTTCATATTTATGTATAACTTTTGCTGATATTTTGAAGAACTGTTTATTTTCACAGCTGCAAGGAAACTTTGAAGCTTACAGAATTTTAATCAGATATATGCCATAAGAGGTTTTGTGTGTGTGTTTAAAGCAATTTTTAAGGTTAGTTATATTTAATTATTTCATTCCCACAGTAGTTTCAGGATTTTGTTTCACTTTACTTTTTTTTCTTTTACCCCTTTTACAGAATGGGTTGCTTGTGTTAGGTCCAACTTCCTGGTTTTGTGTTACCTGCATGATGTGAAGAATGTTCTACAACTTCATGATCTAGCCACTGGCACACATCTCAAGACTTTTCCTTTGGAAGTCGGCAGCATTGTGGGATATAGTGGCCGAAAAAAGGACACACAAATATTTTATCAGTTTATGTCCTTTTTATCTCCAGGTAAGGTTGTTTATTTCCTCAGGTGTTACCCCTTTTACAGGGGACCTGCCCAATGGATCTTTAATTTAGGAGGTACTGTACACATAACGAGATTGAATTTCGGTTTGATCTTTAGAGACATAGAAAAAGGTGCTTTCCCCTAAATAGTGTGTAGTTGTTTGGACTGTGCATTTAAAATATATTAATGGAGAAGACTCTTGGATCTCATGGCTCTACAGTGAGTTAATACGTTGGAGATCTGGGTTCAGAAATGACTGAATATTACAAAGAGTTCTATGGAAGATTGCAACTTCTTGCTCATTCTGTCCTCCTAAAGAAGGAAATTGGTTGCTTTCATAGCACCGATTAGAGGCTGTACGAATGTGCTTTGAGCAGAGCTGCATGATCAAGTAAAAGTAGGACAGATAATACCTTTTGACCAGCCCACAGATACTTAATAAACTGTCTCTGAAAATTAGGTCATTAGTGCAGCCCAGAAAATGAACAGTTTGATGCTAAAACAAGGGTGTGCTTTCCCATCATGTATAGAAGAGCAAGCTTCTACTTTGTATGATCCATGACGTGCTACTGACCCAAACTTCTTTCTTCTGAATAACAAAATATCAAGTAGTTGCATCTGGAGAAATGGTTAAAATTCATGATTTTGCATTTATCCCAGTTTCTGCTCTGCAGTTCCTGTTGAAGTAATACATTGGCGCACTCAGTGGCATTCTGATTTTCTCTCACTAGTGGCAGTTTACAGTTGGCCACACAGAACTTATTCCAAAAACAGTTTGTGTGTGACAGGCCCTACACTCCACTGTGCTACGGAGACCCTCCAGTCACTGTCTAGAGTCCTGGCTTTCAGAGGTATTGAGAGCACATAACTCTCATTGACTGAAAAGAGAGCTATGGGTGCTCAGTAAACCAGGCCCTATGCAAACAAATTAATTTAACAGTGTCCACGGAGTGATAAACACATCATGCAGCCACACACATTCTGTTGTTACTGAGTTTTCTTGATTACCCAAAAGTCAAGCAGAAGTTAATCCCTGGATTAGTAAAATAGGTGGAAGGGGGAGAACCAAGGTCCCTAGAAAAATACTGATGCATTCTAAAGGCAAACATACTGGCTAAAAACTGATCATGGAGGTCTTAGCTTCCAAACTTAAACTATATTTTTTTCTGAAAGTGGTCCTTGCTATAGATGCCAAATTTTAACCATGAAGTATAACTTTCACACAGACAATTCATGTGCTACAATAGAAGATAATGTGCATGCAGTTGTTTGGGAGGGAGTGGTGTTCATTAGCCTGGGAGGAAGTGCACTGGCCTTTTAATTTAAAAAAAAAACAACGAAATATCTGTGACGGAACATGGCTTGTTTGGATGGGATTACTGTCAAAGTGGACTTAACCGACTCCTAATACCCTGAAAAGTACCCTTTTCATTTTGTCATCCAAACTCTCTCTACATTTTACACTAGAGTAAGAAAATTAATCTACAAAACATAAAATATTTTCTTAAAATAAGTTTTTTTTTTCTCAGTTTCAAGCGTAAAAAGAGAGGCAGGGAAGACTATGTATCCAGATTGGAACTGATCTCAATATATGCTCTCAACATGAGTGGCGGTGTTGGGAATGTTGATAATTGAGTGTGGAGCCAGAAAAGAAAAACCCCACCAGTTTCAACCAGAAAGATCATGCAAGTAAAATCTTGAAGTTACCTCAACAGACTGCAGAACAAGGCTGTGCATAAAGGCTTAGCTATGTAAACTAAATAATTGCTGGATAAGATGGGGAAGGATGATGAGTGCAGAATGGAATGACTCATCCTAAGTGTTGATAAAAGCAAAAGGCCTGTAAGCTTCTTTCAAGCAAAACCATGTGTCCAGTTATTTCTGCAAGAGGCCGGAGTTACCTTGTGAAATAAACAGCCCTTTTGTCCCAATGTATAATGAAAGGGTTCAGAGTAGGTGCAAAATTGTTCATAGTAATAGCCAGAGAGACTAGGAGACAAATATTGCTAGTTTGGGGTTTTGTAAGCAAATTATATAATTTAAGGGAGGGAGTAGATTTCTTGCTGCTTTTCCTTTTCTGAGCTCCCTGCTGTTTAAATGGTCCCTGCTTTTTTACTACTTCTACTACATGTTAATACAGTACGATGTACTGAGGAGCAACTTGGGTTAAGAAATAGATTTTCTTACTGCTACTTAAATCATAGATTTCTGTCCTTAATCATCTGATATAATTAAGTCTTATATTATTTCCTCTTTGCTGATAGGTAAGGAGATCTAGTACTGAATGTTTGTTAGATACAAACTCACTTTGTATTAATGTACTGTGCTGAAAGCAGCCAAGAGAATCTGCAAACTGGCTATGTGCATCTTATTTTTGGCAATGTTGTCAAGTCAGTCAGTATACAGATAGACGGGCAATTTGGGCTGACCTTACTTTTGTTCCACTTACTGGCTCTCTACTACAGTTGCACTCAGCACCTCTGCTGTTTATACTTTGACACTGAGCGTTTCTCTCAGTGGTGATGGTATTGTACCTATTAGAGAGAAGAAATCATTTAAAAAAAAATGGTAAATTTTGGTACTTCCATACAATCCAGTAAACAGAATCTAAATCTTGTTCTCTCACTCCATCACCCTCACACTGTGTTTTCCTCTTTAATCTTAATTTATCTAAATTTGAAAGGGCAGTGCTCCACTTGATCAGAAAAAGCCCTATCCTAGGTTTGTCACCGATCCTGAATTTTTTCCAGATTTTGACAGAATGATCCTCTGTCCTGCAAGCCTATCTTAAGGATATTGACTGCTGGCTGTTGAAATTGTTTATTTGTATCACACTAGGATTCCCAACCAAGTCTGAGGCCCCGTTGTGTTAAGGACTGTACAAACATATGTTAAGACTCTGTCCTGATGAGCATACAATATGAATAGACAAGACACAGGGTGAGAGAGAAGCACTATAATCCCAATTTTACATCTGAGGAACAAAGGCACAGAGAGACAAAGTGATTGTCCAAGACCGCACAGGAAGTTTGGGAATTGAACCCTGATCTCTTGCATTGCAGTCCAGTTCTTTGGCCACAAGACTGTCCTTATCTTTTCCTACCAACTGACCACCTTGGAGACCATTGGGGAAGAACGTATCTTTCTCAGGAATTTTAGAGAACAGAATGGGGGCAGAGAGTTTAAACACATGGTTAAGTATTTGCAGGATTGAATCCTAGAAAAGAAAATTACAGTCTAAAAGCCAGATCCTGCCTGGCCCTTCCACAGGTGCACAGTGACTTTTCCTCCCTATTCCCCTATGGGAAGGGCTCGGTAAAGAGGAAATGGGTGCATGGCTCTGCCCACTCCATAAATGTGCAGAGGATAGAGAGGTGTTCCCCACAAAGGGGTGTTTCAACAGGTATGCTGTCACTGGGTGATGGATGTTCCAGAAGGCCTTCTGCTTCCCTGAGCAGAGTGCCTCCATTCCCTCAGGGGCAGTGCGGCTTTGCCTCAATCAGACCTTTAAAAACGAGTTTGTCTACCAGCTTCATCATGGTCATGTGCTTAAGCACGTGAATAATTTTACTCATATGAGTAATCCCACTGATTTCATTGAGAATACTCAAATGAGTAAAATTATTCACGTGCTTAAGCACATGACCATGATGAAG